GGAGGAGGAGGAGGAGGAGGAGGAGGAGGAGGACCATCATCACTTCCCAGTGGATCACCAAGAGCTTCCCATCATGCACTGGGAGGAGCTGAGCCAGCGGATTGCTGAGCTGGAGAAGCAGGAGGAGGAGAGGAGGAAGAAGGTAGGAAGATCATCATCATCATCATCAGTAGATCAGTGTTTTGGTTCTGTGGGTTGAGGACCTGATGCTCCATCCACCTGGACACAAACCTCTCCATATGTTGCTATGAGAACATCAATATGTTCATGAAATAGATGAATTTCATCTGTTGGATGTTTGGGGCGGCAGAGTAAAGGGGGCTGATTGCTTCTGTAGTTCTTATCTGTTTCTGTGGTTCTGAAGGGATTGAAGGTTCTGTTTTAGGTCCAGGTTCTGATGTTTCTGGAGGAATAACCTATGATGCTGTTTGTCTCCAGAGGAGGACGGAGGACAGGCAGGGTGGGGACTGGAGGGACGTCTGGGACGAGGAGGACCTGGTCCACAGGGGCCTGGTTGCTGTGGCTGCTTCACGGTAAGACCGGGTCTGAGGGATTCAGGAGGCAGTTTTCAGGATGTCCAAGACTCCAACATGGACCGACTCCATGATGGAGTCCTAGAAGAACAGAAGGTGGAGCTCCAGCTGCTCTGCTTCATCTGGTCCAGCCTGGTTCCAGTTACACCAGAACCATTCAGAGACCAAGGATGCTGGGAGGGGGCGTGTCTCTATCAGGGAGACATGTTGGCTGGAAGGAGACGGAAACACGTCTAATCGGAGAAACTGTTGTCATTGGATGAAGTTAAATCCAAAAGGTTCTGAGGATCTCTCCTCCAACTAAACTGTGATTGTAAAAAAAAACTGACGACTGATCAGAGCGATAGCTGAGTCCAATGTTCTGTGACCCGGTTAAACTTGATTGGCAGTTCTACTGGAAAGGATGACTGAGATCCAGGAGGACTGGGTTCATCACAACCAAAACACACTGATCTCTATTTATTCACTGGATTGCTGATTGCCCCCAAAAAATGAAGCCACTGTCTACCATGCTGGTACTCCCATACTCAGCACTCCCACAGAGTCACGCAGACAAAATTCCTACATGTGAAGCATTTGGCTGCAGAAACAAGCAGTTTACCAGCTGTGGGAAGATGTTCCACATGTATTTTCACAGTCAGTGGATGAACTAACCAAGAAAATCCATATATACACTAATCCCCGCACCGCATATATATATATATATATATATATATATATATATATATATATATATATATATATATATATATGTGTGTGTGTCATGTGTAATAAATACATGTCTATTACACGTACATCATCAATTTAGCACTTTTGGCACATCTGTAATATTATGCTCCATTTACACATTACTTTTATTGTGATGGATTTGTATAATAACTTAAATTACATGATTTAGAGACTTCATTGACTTAATAATACCTATGCAATCTGATGTGCCTATTTTCTTTGTTTAGTTTAGTTACAGTAATCTGCTTATTCAATGAATTTATCTTTTTTTTAAAGTCTTAAGTCCCCCTGAAGATGAGAACATCATCGTTGTTTGATGCTGTAACTCATATTGTTTACTCTGCGACCGGTCTATCTAGGGTGTACCAATATGGCGGCCGGTGGCTTCACTTCAACCCTGTACTACCCGTGGGTAATCAGCAATCCAGTGAATAGATAGAGAACAGTGCCAAAATCACACAAAAGGATTTTAGTTTCATCTTAAAGTCACAGAAAATTCCCTTTAAAGGTGCTGCAGGCCACCATTGCTGCCATCTGGTGGTTAAGAAGGAAATAGCATTGGCCTCAATTTAGCCCAGAAACATTAACTATGTCCACAGGGAGTCCTGCTCTGTGTGGTCTTCCTCATTAAGGAATGGAGGTGGTCTTCCTCAGTTCTCAATCAGCAGCAACAGACGGAACCAACGACTGGATCTGATTATTCAGCTTGTTTTTCTCCAGAGGAGGATTCAAAAATCTTCACTGTGACATCAGGGTTCTAGTTCACTTCCTGTTTATGTGACCGGTCCTGGATGCCTCACTGAGTCAGAGCAACTTTGGACCTTAG